TGCAGCTGTGCAGTGTTTTGGGCCCTGCATTGTGGGTTATTAGAGAAGAAATGAGAAGACTTTTGCTTATGTACAGCAGAACTAAGGCAAAAGCATAAGTCTTTAAGATACCAGAGACCTGGTGCAGCTGTGCAGTGTTTTGGGCCCTGGATTGTGGGTTATTAGAGAAGAAACAAGAAGACTTTTGCTTGTGTACAGCAGAACTAAGGCAAAAGCACAAGTCTTTAAGATACCAGAGATCCAAAGTAGAAATGCAATCTGCAGAAGCAATGGCAGTCTTCAGAGAGGAAGGCACTAAAAAACCCAAAGGACCAGGTCTGTGATCTGTAAAAATGCTTCAGCACCAGCATGGTAAAACTGTAACCAGATGCACTGGCATCTGTGGAACTACACAGACTGCATCTCAGCCAGGACAGCTGAGGAAATTTGACAAATGACATCAAGGAACTCAAAAAATGGAAACAAAAAGTTGAACTGGAATACCAAGAAGCAGAACCATTGAAATGAGTCTGACAAAGCTGCCAACAAAAGTGGTGTTTGTCAGCAACATGTGCACAGCCATCAGGAGATGGAAATACCAGAGCTGGGGAGGACTGGCAATATGCATCAGGAAGATGCAGACACTGAGGAGACCCTAAACCAGCTTTGTCTACTGGTCTGTGTTACAGTCCTAATGCTCAACAGAGATAGTGAGCAAATCCAGTGAGGGGAGAAGAGTAAAAGCTCTTGTTGCTTCTCATTGCTTTACATCTTGTGACCCACATGGGACAAAACTGGCTGAATTAATTTTAATCTTTAAAAGGAAATAATTTTATTCTTGTGTTTGAAGACCTCTTGTAGCTGAGGAGGGAGCATTTGTTTCCACAAACAATCCTTAAGTAAAAAGCCATTAGTAAGAAGGATGAGGGGGGAAAAAAAATGCATTCTAAAATGAAATATTGTTGTCAGGTAGTTCAATGTTCTAAGCTACAATCTACAACATGTCAACAATAGTTAAAATGTCACACAAAGCCTCTGAGGAAACTCAAAGCTCAAGGTCACAGAAAATACTCTGGGTGAGAGGAAAGAAAAATAAACAAACTGTCACATACTATTGTGCCTCTTCCTCTAATTTTTCGTCCAGATTTAGAGACTGATGGTTTCTGGTCAGTCAGAACTGGTGCAGCATCAAGCAGCTTCCTAAATAAATTAATAAAATATAAGCTTACATATAAGAAAAATGAACTTAAACTAATTTGAAGTTAATCATGCAAAATATTCATCATTTATTTTGAGATGGCAGAACTAAGAATTCAGTGAATTCTCCAAGAAATCAAGCAAGGCACATGTAAATAGATGTTTAAAAATGAACTTGCCAAGTAGTCTGCTCAAGTGGTACCTGGCTTTTCTAAAGAGGTTTAAGTTGTGTTTGGTGCACAGGTCAGGGAAACACAGAGTTTCAGAATCTCAGCAGTTATAGTCCACATGTTCTAAAGCTTTGCTTCTTTCCAAAGCAAGAGGGAATGGAGCTGTAATGTCCTTTTTACAGTTTGTTTAATAGCCTCAAAAAGAAGCAGTTAATAAGTAAGGATTTGAAATTCTGAGTAATGTTTCAAGAAAAGGCTTGCAGGAGATTTCACCATTAACTGAAATTAAAATAAAATCAGTTTGTTTGGTTTTATTTAAGAGATATCTGGCAATGTAAAGTATCAGCTCGTCCGAGTCCAAAAGGAAAGAAATTTGACACAAAAAGAACCTGACTGCAATGGAGTAGAGGTGCAAAACAAACTGAAAGTGACTTGTGAACTGATGACTTCCTTTGCATCAAAAGAAGAGTATTTTCTCCTGAAAAAAAATTGAGATGGGTCATCAGATGCTGGTTGACTGATTTTGAACCACAGTTGCTTCTTCAGTGTAAGAAAAGAAATAATCACTTCTCTCAATCTCAAGTTTCCCCTCACAAACAAATATTTGCTGTGGTTAACATTGCAAAATTTCTTCTGGAATTATTCACTTTATTTGCATCATCTGTAATTGAGTTTAAGGTCATAAGATCCTTAAGGACTGATGAAATTAAACTCATTAGATCTCACTGAAAAACCCTGACACGGGTCGTACGGAATATTCCAAAGACAACTGTGAAAAGGACAATTAAAATACCTCATTTAGAAATTTTGACAAGCCAGCCACCACTTGCTGTCAGTACTAGGAGCAGGATGGTAGTTAGAAAATGTCATGCATGGGTTCCCAGCAAGCTAACAGAGTAAGAGAGCTCAATGTTCCTTACGGTTCAGGCTCTACACTGACAACAGGCACATCTCTTCGCAGCAAAAATCTATTTTCAGGCACTGGGGGGATTTCTTCAGGACGTACCACAGGTTTGTCCCTCTTTGTGCTAACATCCACTGCTCTCTCTGTTAGGTCACTCCTGTCAGAAAGGCTGCTATGGGGACAAAAGAAGTTGGTCATCAAAATAAGTGTCGGCTGATAAGGACCCCTTGTCAAAGTGAATTCCACACCAAGCCCACACGAGGTCTCAACTTTTAAGATGGCTCAAGAACCAAAATGTGTTTCATGAACAACCCATTTTTGGCTAAAGGAACCTTCTCTCCAGTGATAACATGATGCTTCAGTTCTCACTTTAATTTTACTTCTGATTTGCCACTTGTCATGAGGTGTTTTTAAAATATCAACAAATACATATCAAAGATTCATTATTTGCCTAATGACTCACTTTAACAGTTGAGTCCCAAATACCTTAATATGCTGAGGCTTGCTCATTTCAAAGCTGCCCCACCTTCTATATCCAAAAATCATAAAATCCTTTGTGGAAAAAATCTACCCAGCAAGCTCAGCCTTTTTGTTTGGCTGGTCTGGTTTATTTACAAAACCCAAGCATCAAAATCCAAACTTAAACCCATTTTCATTGCTTGAGGACTTCATGAAAACAAAGCAGAATCACTTAATTTCCCTGACCTTCTATATCCAAAAATCATAAAATCCTTTGTGGAAAAAAATCTACCCAGCAAGCTCAGCTTTTTTGTTTGGCTGGTCTGGTTTATTTACAAAACCCAAGCATCAAAATCCAAACTTAAACCCATTTTCGTGTTCATTGCTTGAGTACTTCATGAAAATAAAGCAGAATCACTCAGATTTCCCTGAAATTCTTAAATTTAAGAGAGCAGTCACCGTCTTTGGTTTGAGGGTCGCTTGCCCCTTGGATCCTCTTTCTTCCTCTCCTCCTTCCTTCGTTTCCTGGACTGTTTGGTTTTAGCTCTTCTTTTACGTTTCCTTCTTCTGCTTCTCTCATTTTCAGCTTCACTGTCGGATGAAGTTTCTGACGAGCTCGATGCACTGGAGGAGGAGTCTGAAGCTTCTGACTCTGAACATACTTTCTTCCTCTTCTCCAAAGCTGAAAACAGACATTTCAAATTCACATGTGTGTACACACAATTTTACATATGTATTAACACACAAACTGCTTCAGAGGAGCTCTGGAAACATTTTTTTTCCCCCAGAGTGAGCTCAGTTAAAGTTAAAGTATAATAAAAAATAACTCTTTTACATATGTATTAACACACAAACTGCTTCAGAGGAGCTCTGGAAACTTTTTTTCCCCCAGAGTGAGCTGAGTTAAAGTATAATAAAAAATAACTCTGTCCAGTCTAAACCCATATCAATAAAATGACACAAATATTTTCCAGCAAAGATAGTTGCAAAAAAATCTTTCAGTTGCTCTAGGTAAACTGCAAGAGCTTCCTTCATCTAAGAAAATATATCACTGCAAAGCCAAACCACTGTTAAATTAATACATACTAGGTTTGTAACTGAAGTTGGAGATAAACTTGTACCAAGCTCATCTAAAGAAAGGCTGAGGAACGACTCTAATTTTAATAAGGAGGATTTCTCCTCTTTTCTCCTTTGAAAATGTATTTTAGAACACTGAATTCACACCTCTGGGTTAGAGCAGAACACACAGATAAGCAAAGACCATTTATAGTATGAAAAGTTTAGTTTCTTTAAAAGGCAATGCACAGGTCAAAAACAGTTTAAAGCTATTCACAGCCTCAGCTGTACATTTCTTCTTTCTAAAACTTTGTCATTCTCTCCTTTCTGCATCCTCAGTTTTTATGTTATCTACCCTCCTGATTTTCTCTGAAGGACATAACCACATTATCCTTAAGGAAAGTCCAAAGTGAAGTAGGAAAAACTATCTTCTAACACTCCACTACTTCACAGTAACTGTTTTAAATATTTCAAAACATTCATTCACCTCAATTCTCAGGAAAAGGAGAATGATGTTGACTATATATGCTGCATGTATTAACATGACATGACTTTAAACCTTTGGAAACTGCACAAGGATTCAAATTCAAGAAATATGTTTGCATCTCCATCTTTCCAACTCAGAAAAATCAGTTCTGATTAACTGTATGTCACATTAAACTCAAATGTTAATTAAAGAGACTAGAAAGCAGCTATACATTTTCCAAGGCACAAAGGTTTTAGGGCAAAATCCCTTTTCTGTTGCTGTGCCTTCCTCACCTACACCAAGCTTTAAGTTTTAAACTATTAACTAGAATTCTAGAGTTTCACTACAACAATTTTTAGACCTTGGCATGGTTTTTACACTCTGAAAACAACGTCAACATTTCAATCAGCATCAGCTCTAGGAATGCTTACCATCTTTGGCTGACTTTGTAACAAGCACCCCACAGTCAATGACTCGTACATCTGCATAGGGCCTACTTGCTGTATCAGTTTTCAGATTTTCTATTTGTTCTATTACTTCAAACCCAGAAATAACCAGTCCAAAGACAACGTGTACGCTGCAGAAATAAAACACGTGGAGAGTGTAAGGGTTTGATCCACTGCTGGAGTTCTTTCCCCATTCATTTCAGATTTTAAAAGGCATTCTGAAGTAGAAGCATTCAGCTCTTCAAAACGTATTCAATGTAAAAAAAGAGGATTTTTATTATTTTTACATTTACAACAGTGCCAAGATTTCATGCAAGGTGGGAGAGAGGTGCACTCAGGGTCACTTTGGGAGAGATGCTTGACTCCCTCCTACTCTTCCCTGCATGCTCAGGGTAAAGAGATCATAATTTGTAACCCAACCATCTGTTTGGAAACTGTGTGATCAAGAGTGCATATATAAAGATGGCAAAGAAGTGCAGATCTCCCCAGAGAAGCAGCATTTATTTATAAATCTATATAAACTTCCCACTGGCATTGCATGGACAGTTATAATTAAGGAATTCCTAGTTTTGTTTTACTATACCTCATTTCTCTTTGCTTCTTCCATTTGCCTCATGACATAAGCCCAAGGACTAACACATTGGGGGATAAGAAACATGCCACAAAAGAGAGCACTATCCAACTATATTAAACTGGACATCTCAACTCACTGATTCATGGACTGAGGTCAGCACCAGTTTTAAAGAAATAATATGAAGATTTAAGACCTTCCAAGTTTTTGACCAACTTCAGGAAATAAGTTGCAACATGGATTTTTTTTTTATAGAACTGAAACTTTTGTTTTCCATCTTGTTCTATTGTATAACTCCTCACAGAATGAAGAATTTGTTTCCCCATTGTTGTCTACTTTCAACAGAATGTGTGAAAACTTAACAACTGTCCCATTTCAGCCACCCTTAGAGAAACTCTGAAGGGTTCTTACCCGTCGAGATGAGGAGCAGGTTTTGTTGTTCTGTTGGACAAACAGCAAGATGGTAAGATGGTAAAAAAAATTAAAATAAAAAAAAAAATCAGGGATGCAGATGAAGTAAGAGGAGAATGGCACAGGAAAAAAAAAAAAGGTGAAGGTAAGACAAAAAAATAGTGAAAAAATTCAGTTACATACATGGAATTAAAAAAAATTGATAGATCATATACACAGGCTTTTTTAGAACTTTTACATGAAATTTGTTTGAAGTTTAACTAACTGTGCACACTTGAAAGTTGTACCAAGCATCATTTTAGGCATGCAATAAACAATTTTTTTTTAAATAACTGTCTTTAAATGCATTCAAAGATAACTCACTAGCATTTTTAATCACAGAGAAGATACAATTTGGCAATAAATGAAAGGAATTTACAGGTTTCTGGAATTATTAGGTTCTTACATTATGAGATCACAGTTTATTAAAAAAAAAAAAACAAGAAAAGAGTTATATATGTGATAGATTCTTTGCTTCTTCCCCCTGCCCTGCTACTTAATTACTCTCCATTTACTTGGCTTCATGACTCAGAATTCAAAGCATTATTTCTAGCTTTAAAGAACCATCAAGACTACAGCACTTCAACTCCTGAGCTCACAGGCTTCCCAAAAGCCACAGCAGCACAATGCAAGCAGACATGATATGCTACCCTACAGGTTTTTTCTCCTGTGATAAATGCCAGCCTCTTATTTTTTCAGCTTCCCCCATTCATCTGTTCCTAGCCTGAAGAACTGCAACTGCCTCACGTTTTGTTCATTATCCTAAAAGATGTTTGGAGTTAGGCCAAATTTCTGAGTTGGCTTCCAACTGGAATATTCAAGGCTGTGCATATGTGACTACATGTTAAGATTCACCTTTTGGATGCTAGTGCCATGACCTGGTAACTCTCTAGCCTGTTCTAAAAAGAAAGGAAATTACTTCTACACATGAGCCTGCATAGGTTGGAAACTTTGCTATGAGACAAATTCAGTTAGGAACAGCAAAACTTGCACCCTTCTTATTTATTTGGGATGAAAAAAGAAGTCAAGATAATTTACATTTGACATTAATATCTGAAACCATTTTTTCCTCTCTTCCCCAAGCACTATTTTGCTTTTCTGGCCTTCTTTCAGCTCCCTTCTCTCAAAATAATTGATCACAGATGCTCTTTCTAACTTTACAATAACACAAATGTGGCACAATGAAGTTAGTTTTTCACTCCTATAATAAATTTAGTTTAAGTACATATCTTCACTCTAATGTTGAACTAGCAGGTCACAAAACCCTGCAGCACTGGAAAACATGCCAAAAGATGGAACTGGGAATCAGGAGTGTTTACACTCTTGATTTTTTTTTTTCCTTTTTTAAAAGCTCCAAATGTCAACCAGACCTCCTGCTGTTGTAATACTAAATATAGAAAGCTCCTTTGGTTTAACAAAGGGAAAGAAATGCCTGAGAAACTAAACTTCACCTTGGTAGTGCTGTTTCTTGGTTTTCCCTTTTTTCCCCCCCTACAAGCATGACAATTTTTACAGCTTTTGATGTTCTTTAAGCAAAAGTTAACTGTGTTATCCACCTGCTGTTAAGCAAACAGTTTAAGCGGGCTCAGTTATAAAGCTGGTTGAAAGGAGTGGAAAAAACACAAGTGGGTTACTACAATAAAGCCACGATGAAGAAGACTCAGTGCTTAGGATCAGCTGGAAACAGCAAGAGGTTCAAAGACCCTTGGTGTGAGTGCTGTAGCCATGTGCTCCTCTCATGCAGCAGCACCACTTGAAGACTAATTGAGCAAATTACCTAAGCATGGACTTTCCTCAGTCCTCAAAAAGCAAAGGGGATAATTGGGATGTTAAAACCCACATCCAGGTTCCTTCCATTACCCTGGCAATTTGGTAGATAAAGTGGATGGGGTTGGAACATGACATTTATTCTGCAAATGTGCACTTTAAAGGACCACTTCAAGGTTTTGTGGGTATGTTCTGCCTTTCATCCCTGGAAAGTTTGCTACAGCTTCAAAACTCAATCAGAAGAAAACCTACTTGCTGCCTTTGCCCTGTGGAAACCTAGAGTCATGATGAATTCTTCCCCCCAAAATAATATCCTATTCAAACATTACACAACTTTTACAATTTAAAACATTCAAAATCTGCCTTAATATTTACTATCATCCAAGTTATTTACAGGACAAACACGTTTCTTCAGTCAAGTTTAAAGTAAATCAAATTGGTTTAAGATACTGCTGAAGAGAAAAGCATCTTTTTGATCAAAGCACGTTACTGCCCACCCCCCCCGAGGAACCTCAGTCCTAACAAAGGGTTCAATGCACATAACAATATGATCAGAAAAACAAGAAAGATTAAAAAACAGAAAGAAAAGGAAAGGACACAGCCTTAGAGGAATGAGACATTACCTTTGGAGCGCACGATGTAACACTGTTTCTGTAAATTTTACACAAAAATGGCAGAAATAAATTGTAATACATTTTCAGACAAAACTGAGTCTATGTTTTATTAAACACAAGTTTTTAAATTCATATTAATCAAGTTGTAAGCAGAACAAGGATGCCTAAAAAAGAGGGCTCTAAATTTTCTTTAGAATACAAGGTACTTTGAAAACTACAGTAAGTTCTCCTTAAACCCAAAAAAAAGCAACCTGTAGACATAACCTGCTTGAATACAGCACTGCAAAGATAAATGGTTAGAAAAGAGAATCCTCCCACCCCCCTCTATGGCTCAGTCCAGCAGAAGCACTAGAAAACACAACACAACTTAAAGCAGATGTGTAACTGATCCCAAGGGGCTTCTTCCCAGGCCTGTAGTTCCATGGGTGTCCCAATCCTCTGCTGAGGATGTGCCTCCTAGGATGGAGCTTAAAGGCTTTTGATTCACAAGTTCAGTGTGTGAAGTCAGGAAGCCTCCACCTAAATACATTTCATTAGGAGCCAACAGCTTCCCTGGACTATGATGCTTTCCTAAAACTAAGGGAAAACAGGTGTTCTCAAAAAATCCATGCACTGCTGTGAGGTTCCTTGTGCTCACAACTGCAGAACACACACACTGCAGATGCACAGATGAGACAACACACACCAGCTACTACCACACTTGTGCTCTGGTGTAATTCTGAACAGCACCAACGTCCTAAAAACACATTATCAGTTGAGCTTAGCAGCATTTCTCCCTCCCACCCCAAAGAAACGATGAGTACTTAATTACATGTCTGCATATTCAAGGGTTGAAGCTATCTGTAAGCACCCTGTGAATGCTTTCACCTCAGCTTTTGATCCAGCCAGAGGGACCTGCCTGTGTGGCAAGTGCACATCTCTCACCTCTGCTCAAAGGTGGTGCAACAACAGCCCCTTTCATTTGGCAGTTTTAGATCTGTGTGCTGCTGTCAAGTGTTCAATGATTAGCTCAAAGGCATTTCATTCAGAAGGAAAAAATTAAATCAGCAATACTCTCAATTTTGGGGAAAAAATATAACTAGTAGCAATAGCAACACAGTCTCAACTTTTCAATAGCTTTTGAACACAGAGGCAAGAGCTCCAAGTGTCTGAAGTGATAAGTAACCCAATTTAGGACTTGTCTAAGTTGTTGTAAGGACATATTCCTCAGTAAACTACATGGCTAAATAAAGTACAAATTAATTATTACCAAAAAATCCCAACAAAGAGGCTGGTGACATTTTTTTTTGGCCTACTGTTGTTTTCTTTATGCTTCACTTTGCACTTGTATTTTTCTAGGAAGCACAGCTGGAAAGATGTAACAGTGGCAGCAAAGTTGAGCCCACACCCTCATCTGTAGGATCAGGACTCTAATTTTCTAGTACTAATTTTCACAAGAGTTGTGCTTGTTTTGTGTTAGTGCAATGTTCTAGATGCAATCCCCTGATAAATAATAATCATCACCATCTTTTCTGGCAGCAGTTCAATACAGATATGGGAGTATACAGGAAAAAAAGATGATTCTGGAGTGGCTCCTGCCAACCTCTACCCCACCCTAGGGATTCCAGATCCGAGTATCAACATCAACAGCACAATTAAAAGAAGATTAACACGTGGGGGTGGTGTTTAGAACATTTGCTACGTAGCTGATGGTTCTAAGAAGTTATTTACAGTCAAGAATCAAACCAGCAGTGCTACCTGAAGAGACAAACAACTCATTTACAGCCTGGTGCCTTACAACTACCTTCAACAGAAGCCTGCAGGAAAATGCTACAACAGATCCCTTTGGGTAGAGAAACTTGAGGTTGCAATATTTCACAAATCAAACTATTATAAAGGGATGGTCTCTGTGTCCTCTCTGCCAGACTTCAACAAGATGTATTTCTTCAGACTAGCAAATGTTCCCTGGCCACGTGTGAATAGATTTGGCCTATTTAAAGTCCACGTGCATGAGAAGATAATCCTTCCTCAGCCAGACACTCCTTTCAGCCCTACTGTTCCTCCTAGTCAAGAAAAAAAAGTAGTAAATGGGGAAAAACAATCAAAGAGCACTAAACACAGCACATCTGACATCTATCTGCACACACTTCTGGCTCTTTATTCTACTTCAGCATCTCACCAGATTCTGCCAGTGCTTTAACTTATATCCATTCTTTTCCCTCTGGCCTCACTGGAGCTTCCTAACAATACTTCCACTCTGCTTTCCATTTCCAGTTCTCTGTTCTTGCTTAGAAACCCTTCAAGCTCATCCAGGCCAGAGAAGCTCCTGATGAATCAAAGAGAGCTGATGGCACTTGAAGATTGCCCAGGTGTAACCTTACATCAAGGTCAGTCTGGAGCTTCTACCTGAAGTAAAACTGACCCCTGGAGGTCAACTTTTGGCAGTTTTGAGGCACTGCACAGAGTCTTCTTGTGGCCAGTTTGTTAGGATGCTCTGCCAAAGAGATCTGCTGCCCTATTCCCTTCTGGAAGGACTACCTCCTTCAAATGACACTTTGCTGTGGGAAGCAGGGAAAGCCCTTCTAATGAGGAAGCAAAAGTGCTGGAGTTGTAGCAATATTTGTGCTGTTATTTTAGCCCTACTTATATAGAATAATTTATTTGCACTCCTTCTCTGCTGTATTAGAGAAATACACAGTTCTCACCCCTGAAATATCTATGGACAAAAAAAATGCAAACAGAAGGCTAAAAGAAGTTCAGATGGAGATGAATTACTTCCCTTTCTATAAATCTAATCAATAAAAATCAAACATGCTTGAAACATTGAAAATAAACCCCTGAAGGCTGCCACTGAAGAGAGCCTGTCAGACAATTTCCAGGTTATACATTTGAAGAATGTTTTTCCTAATGATACACCAGTGATCACTCATTGGTGTATAAGAAATACATTTTAATTTCAGTTTAAAGTACAATGTGCTGTTGAATGTTTTTCCTAATGATACACCAGTGATCACTCATTGGTGTATAAGAAATACATTTTAATTTCAGCTTAAAGTACATCACTGAAGGAAGGCAACGTGCTGTTGAAGAAAAGCTGCACAGATGCACAGTATGTTCCCTCAAGTAACCAGACATCACCAAGCAAGACTAGCTGCTTCCACATACTACATTTTAAAGCTGGCTCAGAAGTTGCCTTTTCACTCTTTGTCCTGTCACAACAAACCCTGCTCAAAACATCACCCCCCTCCTTCTTGTAGGGCCTCTTGAAGAGGTGAAAGGCCACCAGAAGGTCAACCCAAGGTTTCATTCACCACCCAACCTCCCCTATTCATGAACAGCAGGGACCTGACCTCACCCCTGAGTGCATCCACTCCCAGGTGCTACATCCTACCTGCACCCTCCATCCTGGAGTGTCTCAAACAGCATGTGAAGTGAAAAAACCCTGGCTGAGGGGGTCACAGGAGCCTAGAGCATTGGGGTGTGCTTTAAAGGCTTCAGCAGCAGCCCACCTAACTCCCAGTGTAACCAGGGAGGTTTTACTCCTCAGCTTGATTCATCTTCTGACTCTAGAGCAAGCTGGGGCTGCTTAAGACATGACAAGATGTGTAAGAAATCAGCATGGGTCAGGCAGGTAAGACATGACCTGCAGAACACCCTCAACCTTCTCTCCCAGCAGCTGAAGGCCAGGTGGGATGCCCTAGGACCCTAAAAGCTGCTTTAGATTCCCACAGGCAGCTGAGGTGAAACTAGCTTACATGGACATGATGATATTGAGCTTTCTTACCCTGCCTGAATTCCCAAACTAACACTTTCTCTTTACAGTGATCTTATGAAAAAAAATAACCCCACACACTACACCACCACAGAATTTTGGAAGAGATCTTCATCTTTCAAAATATTTCTGTCTCTTATGGAAGTGCTCTTCAACACTGTTCATTTTGTTGTCCCCTGTAAGTGATAATTTAGCATCCAACACAACCTCAGGTTGTTTTGGTGTGTGGGGAGAGGCAAGGTGTTCATGTCTGTTCCATCTAATGGAACAAGGAAGCTGAGTCTACTAAGCACAAGGAGAAGCAGATGCCTTCTGAATCGAGTGCAGGAGAGAAAAGAAACTTTAGAGCCCTCAAATGACTTCTTGACTGATGTGACATCATTAAGGTTTTCATGTGTATCGTTCAGATAAGCTTAAAAATGGAAAAATCATGACAAAAGAACCAAAAGATAAGTCACCAAGTAGTAAATAGTGAACCAAAGTCTTTCAGAGAGCTGATTAAACAGCAGAGGTTTTCATAGAGCTTGTTTTCCATATTACTATTTATACATATCCATTCAGATTGACTGTAAGTACAACATCTAAAATTTGGGTTGAAGGCAAAACAAGTTTTAGACATGTTTTTATCTCTAAGAAAAGCCAGAACAGTGGTAACTGAAAGACTTCCTCTTAGGTTCCTATTCATTTTCCATTTTTAGGGCATTCTTTAGGAAGAGACCTAAAAATGTCTCTTATCTGAACTTCATCAGATGAGACTGAAGATCTTTTTTCAGGCAAAGTTAAAAAAAAAAAGGAAGGTTCTTGAGGACAATTCACTCCTTTCCTGAGGCCAGGGAAGCGCCATTCATTCTCATCCCCCAAGAAAGATGGCAAAGAAAAAAACAGTTCTTCTAGTTAAATAACTGCACTAAAATTTACTTTTGAAAACACCAGTGTTATTTCACAGAGTTCTTCTCAGCACAAGCCCCAGGTTATAATCCAGGTCTTTCCAAACACAAACTGTTAGACATTAACAGAAAGCCATTTTTTTTTTTAAAAGGGAGTTAATAGAAGGAATAATCACATCAAAATTAGGAAGTTTAAATATACTAATATTGAACCTAGAACACAACTGCTTCAACCAGGAGACCCTGATGTATCAGCCCTGAGGATTTATTGATGGTAGAGTATGTGTTTTCTACATAATTTCTACACACTAGAATGGATTTTTTCTGCTTTTCTAAAGGTAATAAAGGAAAAAACTGATTATCAGGATGTAATCTTACAGCAAAGTAGTTGCTATATGCACAAGTAAACAGAACTATGCAGCAATATAGAAGAAAAGCACATCAGGGACAAACACTCCAACGAAATAAAAAATAAAGGTAAAGAAAAAAACCAAACTGAAACTATAAACAAAACCCAACTCATCCCCTCCCCCAAAAATCTGAATAATAGATGATTGTACTGTAAGGAGCACATGCAAAACCCACACAAACCTCACCTAGAGCTCACTCCCTTTGGCATAGTACACTCCTCACTGTGATTTGAAGATAACCTGTTAAGGTGTGGCTGGTGCACACACAAAGGCCAAGAATCTGTTTGCTGGACACTACACATGCTGCAGAAGCCACGTTTTTAAGGTAAAAAGCAACCAACCAGGAACACTCCTGTAGCACCAGCTTCTAAACCACAAGCCAACTGTGAGAGCTAACGTTTCCTATGAGGCAGGCACCCAACTCACCCCTCCTTCAAGCACGAGGAGAACATGATTAGAGAGGATTTAGCAATACCATCTTTCTCATGAACAGCGCTTCTCTGTTTGAGAACAGCTCGACTGGGGTTTGCCATCTACTCACATGAAAAATTGGGAACCATTGGTATGTTTCCCTCGGTTTGCCATTGACAAAAGGAACGCTCTGTCATGTTTGAGAATAAAGTTTTCATCTGTTTGAAGAAAAAATAGGTCTGTCAGATTTTTTTTGTTCCCCCCCCACCCCCCGACAAGGAAGGCAAGTCTCGTTTTCTTAGTAACTTATGGATGCTCTAAGTTCTGCTGCTGCTGAAGAAATGTGAACAGGTTGGGAAAATATCCAAAATCAAGTTGAAGCAAGACTCTCCAAAGTTACAGTAAAGCAGTTATGAGACAAAAAACACACTTGAAGAAAAAGTTTCAGCTATAGTACAAACATTTGTAATGAAAAAAAAAAATGAAGTCATTATTAGTACCTTCAATCAACATCAGATTTTCATAGGCTTAGATTTAAACCCAGTGTTTTCTGAGTAACAATGAGATGGGTGGACTTTTGGACACCCTAAAACACAACTTAACCATGATACTGGTATTTACACAGCATGCACCTGGAGGAGAGAGATCTAGAGAAGCCATTTCCCTGGTATGGCAGCATTAATAGATGGCCACACATCCATTCACATCATCTGGAAGCCTCAGGTTAAGGGGGGGAAAAAACCCACCCCCAGATATCTGAGTGAGAAGCTAAGGAATGTGTTATTCCCCCACCCCAAGTATAAAATCAATTAAGACTAAACCAAGCATCCATTTTATATTCTAGTGAATTAAAGAGGCTTTCTGGTTGTTCAGTGTTATATAAAACCAGACCTTCCCCAGTTCATTTTTAAAGCTAAACCAAGTGAATTGGAATGTACAAAGCCATTAATTTGAAGATCACTCATCAACACAACGCTGCACATTCAGCACTCCCCACCCTCAGAAACAAATCCTTTACAAACTCACCATTTGCCTTCCAACAACAGATTTTTAAAAAGAAGTAGAGGCACATTTATTTACAGTTTCTTTGCAAGGAAAAGAACGTGTGAAGAGTATCAACAACAAGTCAAATACTTTTAGCAACAAGCACTAAGCATACAAACCTTGAGTAGGGAAGGGGAGGAGAGGGACATGAACAAAAGAAGAAATAACTGTTTAGAGCTGGAAATGATGCCAGGATTCTCTCTCAGAATAAGTCATTAGCCCTCAGAAAGGTTAGACACAGAACTCTTCTCATCTCCAAGCAACACAGATACCCAGCTACAAACAGATGTACCAGTTCTCTATATTTACTAGGGAGGGTACAAGGGAACAGAGTTTGAATTTGTGTTACTGAGCTTTTGTCTCTTACCTTTTCATTTTGCAAAAGACCACATTCTCTATAAACAAAAGAATATGTTGACAGTTTTAGGCAGGAAGATAGGAGTTTATTCATGAATAAAGTTGCCTAACCTCCATGCTGAAAGTCACGTTTAACCAATAATGTTAGCCTTAATTAATTGTCAGTTAAAATTAAATATTACCAAAAAAAAATTATCTGAAAGTCATGCAAATAAAAAAAAAAAAGAATTCTCATGCAACATTAGTTTCATGCAAAAGGTGATCTATAAGTAGACCTGTTTTCATTAAGGAGCTTGGGAATCAAGACTTGTTTATCTCAGAATTGAATAAAGAATCTGCAAAGATGTATTTCCTCTTACCTTTAAAATAGCCACCATAAATAGATTCCCCTCCTTTTCCATTACCTACACATTAAAAAGCAGGAATTAAACCTTTTGTTTTGTTTAAGAAAAAAAAATGTATTAACATCCCACCAGTTCTTAACAAACCAGGATCCTCTGGGCTGTTACTTGTACCTCAGCACAAGCTCCTAAATTAAAAGCCAGGGCCACGTGTTCTCCTGCTGCCACCCAAAATGCTGAAAATGAGGATTGCCCAAGTGCCTGGGGAAGTCTGAAGCAGGGCTCCAGAGGTTAATCCCCAGCTGGCATTTGCTAAAGCAGCAGCAGACAGAAAAACAACCACAGGAAGCAAAAAAAGAGACAACAGTAGCTGTGACCAACAATCCTGCCTGGCTCCAAGCAGCTGAGGGACACTAGAAGTGCAATAAAGCTGCTGGTGCTTTTAAAGGCATCCTCACTTCTGCTTGACTCAAAACAAGATACTCCCTCAGGAGCTTGTTTTCTCAGGCATAAGATTTGAGGACATAGAAGAGGCATTTGGGTAAGGATTGGTACTGCAGGGAAGGCCAAGAGGCTGAAACACTGTTGTACATGTGCCTTCTTCTTTAACTTCAAACATTTCTCTAAACAAATATTGCTTCAGTTGAAATGTTTTAGAATTTTAAAAATTAACAAAGAAATGGGTGACCTTTGCTGTACTTCACAGCAAACCAATTATTTTTATAGCACTGGAACACTTTTAGGATCTAAACAATGTTTATAATTATCTAAAGGGCAGAGAGCAAGAGGCTGGGGCCAGACTCTGGTCAGTGGTGGCCAGGGACAGGACAAGGGGAAATGGGCACAAACCAGAACCCAGGAGGAGAAATTTGTTTGGGGTGAGGGTGCAGAGCCTGGAGCAGCTGCCCAGAGAGGCTGTGGAGTCTCCTGCTCTGGAGAGATCCCAAACCCTCCTGGCTGTGACCCTGGGTGAGCTGCTGGAGCAGGGGGTTGGGTGAGATGATCCCCAGAGGTCCCTCCCAACCCCACCATGCTGGACTATGACTTTCACAGCATTTTTGCAATGTTCCATTATAACCACATAAATTATAACATTTCTGACCCACTGAAAAGATTCCAAAGTGTGTTTTACCTTCGCTGAAGTCCCCACCCTGAATCATGAAGTTCTTCACCACACGGTGGAAGGTAGTGCCCTTGTAACACAGCTTCTTTCCAGTTGTTTTGCCAATTCCTTTCTCACCTGCAAGAAGGTCAAACAAAAGAAAATAAATCCATAGATTGTCAGTGAATAAATTCCAGGGGTTTTACCTCCCTCGTGCTAGTGGATGAAAGAAAGGATTAGAAGAAGTGTTCAAAGCCAGGCTGGATGGGGCTTGGAGCAACCTAATTTAGTGGGAGATGCCTCTGCCCATGGCAGGGGGGCTGGAACTAGAGGATCTTTAAGGGCACTTCCAATCTAAACCATCCTGTGATTTGGTCTCTGCAGATGGCTCAGCAGTTCACAACTCTGCAAATCCAAAGCAACCCTTCACATCTCAGTTCTAGTTGTCAGAGGCCAACACAATCTTTCCAGTACACCTTCCTCTCCCATCACAGAGCTGCTGCTCCTCTGAAGCTGGGCTCTGTATCTCCTACAACACAGTCTAGGCAAACACAGAAGCAGCAGCAGCCCAACCAGAACCCTACATCAGTCCATAAGATGTCTCCTTGTGTGCAGGGTGCAGCTGAGATGCTGAGGCAGTCGAGGTTCTGACAGTACAATGTGTGAGGCAGGGAGAGCATAGAGCAGATAAACCTCCAGTAACAAGGGCACTGGAAGAACTGGTCAAGGAGAAGCAGAGAGCCAGACAGAACAGTCAACAGGAAAAACAGCTTTGGGCAAACTGAAGAGTAACACAGATGTGATTAGTGCAAAGAAGACAAGAATTAATGTTAGCTGTGGGGCTGCAGCCTCCCAGCTCAGCCATGCCACAGAATGGTGGGGTTGGAAGGGA